CACAAACTGTGGCACAGAGACTCAGAGAAGCAGTGCTGAGACATGTATGGGTGCCTTCTCATCTGGCCTGAGACCAGGGAACTGTGGGGAGGCAGACAGGTAGGCAGGCTGTTTTCCTGGCCACAGAGGCAAAGGCCAAGGGTTTATCAAGTGGCTGAGCGACAAATGACTTGAGACTTGGCTACGGCGTGGCTGAGAGGCAGAGAACCAGTGAGAGACTTGGCGGCTAGCTGAGACCACGACTGCATCCTGACTGCTTTCAGGTCCTGACTTGTGGTAACCATTTAACTGCCCTCCGAAACCCCTGACTCCTGAGTACTGTTTGAGTTCTGTGGCCACTGCAACAAATGATCAACCCAAGCACAAGGTTGTTGTCTGAGCAGGTAAAGAAGGATGGAGGTATAGGTATGTCTGACTCCTGCCTCATGGCAACAGAGAGGCCACAGGGGGTCAGATATGGCCCACCATTTAGTTTACCTAGCCCCCTCCCCTCCGGCCTCAGGCCAAGGAGGAGGAGAGCCCTTCCCATTTCTTTTAGCAAGCACTCCTGAAACTTGGGGTGTGAGGCATGCAAGAGGCATGACCGGCTTGGGAAAGGAGAGGGGGGGCTCCCTTGGGCTGGGAGCTAGGGCTCAAGGCACAAGCCACAGAGCAGCCCTCACGCCTCCCTCTGTCTCCCTGTTAGCAGCAGAGCCAGCAACGCAGAGAACCAATGTCAAACAGGCAGGAAAATGGCAGCCGCGCACAGGGACGACAGGACTCCTAGCCCCAGCCCACACTGGAAAGCAAGGAGACACCCTTCCCTCACTGGATGGCAGCAGGAAAGTCGAGCGATGGCACCTGGGACCCTGGCACCTCCACCCTCCCATAGATCACTGTGAGATACAAGGGACCCTAGACGTCCCCTCCAACAAGAGGTACCAAGATGCCTGTGTCAGCCCTGAGAATTCGTACCCAGTGAGAGCTAGCACCTGACCATCCTCCAGCAACAGGTGACAAAGCTACCTTGCCATGTGGTGGAGGCAGCGTGAGAGTTGTCTCCTAACACACCACCCCCTCACTCCAGAAACCTAGTGGGCCCAAAACCCCACCTCACCCCCAGCAGTAAAGGACATGCCCCTGTCCACAACGTCAACAGGAATTCAGGTAGTCAAGAGGCTGCGCCTAGCAAATCCCCCACAACTCAGAAGAGGCCTGGGAAAACAGACTGAAGAAGGTCCAGAGCCTCACAGCCAAACACGCCTACATCTAAGATCCGGTCAAAATCATTCCCGATACCAAACTCCAGGAAAAAAATCTCACCTTCAATGAGCAGAAAAGCAACAGCCAGCAACATCAAGATGACTGAGGTGTTAAGGGCAAATGAGAAAGGATTTTAAAATGCACACCAGAAACATGGTCAGTGGGCAAGTAACTCATGAAATCAAGAAAAAACACTGAAAGTCTCGGCAAAGAAACAGCTAACATAAAGAACCAAATGGATGTTTTCAAACTACAAAACACCGTGTTCGTAGTTAAGTCAAAGACACCACCCTCAGGGGGGTGCTAGAATGATCGTGAGAGGCTGCAAAAAACACCCATGTTCAGTCCTGCATGAAGGGCTACCACATAAAAGTTGTTCACTGCTGTGTGTGTGCATCTACTGAATAATTTTGTTTCTGAAAAGGGTTGGTAGGCTGAGTACATATGGGAATATATGCTACAGACTGAAAATACAGTGGATGGACTCCTCCACAGAGGAGAAGAGACAGAAGAACCCGACCTTAAAACGACAGCACAAGAGGAAATGGATGAACACACAAATGAACAGCGCTCAAAGTTCTATGGAACTAGAAACAAGCTCTAAAAATGTGGTCTCAATGCATCAAGATAGGAGAGTGTGTGGAACTCAGAGGCTATTCAAACAAAAAATGGCTGGAAATGTCTGA